GCCTGCACAACAGCACAGACATTTCTGCTAACCAGAGCAGGCTCTCTGCCCTTCTTGGCAGTGCTCTAAGTGAGATGCTCCGATGAACTCCTAGAGCACTAAGACTTCATTATTGGCACAAAACATACAGATATTATTTCCTAATATGCTATAAAGTAATAGCTGTCAATTAAACAAATATTCTGATGTCTTCCTTTTAAAGTATTATTTTGCTTTGTCACTAATTTGCACAATACAATAATTTTATATTACTTTCCTAGCTCTGAGCACAAATTAGCTCTGTGCTACTATTGCTGGCTCTGACTGGCCATTTTATCTTTTTCCAGCTCATAACCCAGGCCTATAGAATGGGTGGCAAGTAAATTCACGCCGATGAACATAATTTCAAACAAATTGCTCAAATAAATTGTGGTGCATCTTTTTGAGATAGCCATTTCCCCAAATGTTCTCTTTAAAGACAACGCATTTGGCAGTGGTGCTCTTTAGATGTCAGGTATCATCTAAAATAATGCATAACAGATTTCTTCTAAAAATATGCCACTTAAAAAAATTACACCGCAAATGCTAACGGCTGTGCTGAAAATATATCAAAGCAAAATAGCACAGAGAAAGGGGGGAACAAATCCCATCTGCTAATGGCCACACTCACAGCTCAGAAGGGCTTGGGAATGTGATGCTTTACGGAGCATGGCTCTGGGGGCAGAACTCAACTAGCACGCCGGAAAAGTAATCCTACGATTAAAAAGAAACAACTGAAAAATGAAGTAGTGTTACATCACATGTCATTTCACAGATGTACTCCAAAAGAGCTAGCAGCCTAAAAAAGAATATATTAAAGAAATTAAGTCAAATAATTAGCAAGGAATCTTGGCATGTGAAGTTGGCGAGATGTGGCATTCAAACATTCTCCTTCTGTGTTCGTTGTCATTAAACGTTACCGTGAAGGTATAAGAATACAAGAAATGTATCAACAGCAGGACTACAGAAATTTATCTTAGCAGAAAATTGTTCCTATGCAACTGAATAATTAGTTTCACTTAAGTCACTCAGCCTGCTACCATCGTCTGCATCCCCTTTTGTCTATGTCTTGTTAAATTCCTATTCAGCCATCACTCAGCTCCGAGATGATAGGATTGCACAATAAACAAAATAATTAGTTTCCAAACTCATAATACACTGTAACATATTTCCTGGAATATGTTTTTTTTTTTTTTTATAACTGCTATTTTGCATTCTCTCACGATTGAGAACTCAGCTCACATGTATAAGAGAACTTGAAGACGGTCTAATTTTGCCATGAATCCAACAGATGAAACTAAATTCACGCTCATTTAGGAGAGCTAAGTGAACAAATTTTGATGCACATACCAGAATGTCTGCACCAGCCAAGTCAGCCCACACGTATCGACATGCATCACAGACAAATTATGTATAGATGGAGCATGTTCCCCTTTAGACTTCCTAAATAAGGACCACTACTGAAATGGGGAAACGCCCTTCGCCAGGGCAGTACCGACAGCCAAGGTACTGCGGGGCAGACTGGCACCCTCTGCTCCACACCAGCGCTGGCATATACTGGTAGCACTGAAAATGAGACATACGTCAGCTGAGGCCTTTAAAACCATCTCATTAAAACAGCACAATCTTTTTAGTCTTAAATTATAAGAGGACCCCAGGAGCAGGGGATGCTCACAGGACTAACCTTACAGTCTGTGCAACCGCACGGATTAAAAAACCTGCAGAAAGTCAATCGAACAACTTTTCTCTTTCCCGCTGTAAGACTCAAAATCCTTGTGAAATTTGAATTTTAATTTTTTTTTTTTCCCCCAATGGTGATGAAGATAGGATAACAAGAGGTGAACTCACAACTCAGAATCATTCCTCTCCAAGCACAGGCGAACCGCATGCTAGACCGCAGGGAGGATGAGCATGGCAGGGCGTTTTCTGCGTGAGTGGGTCTTTTGTGGTACAAGGACGGGCACCGGCACAAGCAAACAGGCTGCGTACTTACCTCTGGCTTTCAGTGCAAGCTAGAATATCAGACCGCACAGAGGAATTCAGCTTAAGAAACTGGCACCGTCAGGCTGCAACGACTCACAGCTACACACAGCTCGCGGGCAGCGGGCACGAAGCGGCTGATTACAAACTCGGGGCGGCGGTTTCCCAAGCCTGGGTCTCTACTGGCGAAGCTGAGAGGTGCTCTGTCAGCTCAGCCGGTAGAGAGAGCTGTCCCGAGTGAGTAATGACCCCCGTGCCGCCCCGTGTGATGGGGGTGCAAGGGCTGCATCTCCACCTGAGGCGCCTTCACCACCCCGTCCTCTCTGATTCAACTCCCCCCACCTCCTTTAAGGGAAAAAAAAGAACAGTTTTGAAGCAACTCCTCTGAAATGCTCTATAAATGAAGCCATGTTCATATAAACAATTAACTGGAGAGATGGGATGAGATGATGAGGGCAACTCAGGCTTCTGGTGGGAGGACGGAGAGGAGGAGAGAGAGGCCAGCGAGACTGCCGGGGCCATAGCACCCCGAGGGCAGGACCAGGGCTTGCCTTCCCCGAGAGGGCAGCGGGGCTCCCGCGGGGCTGGGGCACAGCCTGAACCCAGTGGCCGACGATGGGGGCGCGTGCTGCCGGGAGGACACCTGCCTGTCCGCCGCAACGCCGTGGCACTGCAGCCTGCAGCATTCAGCGCCCACAAAACGCTACCTCAGACGAAAACCCACTTCATAACCAAAGCCTTTTGATTTACAACCCCTCTAGAACAACAACTAACCCCTTCCCCACCTCCCCTAGCTTAGTCTTCTGCGGGAGGTCTTCTCCAACCCACACTCTGCTCCCTGGGGACTTGGGCGGGCTGAGCCATGCCCCCGAGAGCTGACGCCTGTAGCTCGAACAAACAAGCAGACAAACTGCAGAAAGACAGCGCTTTGTGATTTACAGATTAAACCAGCAAAACACGCATCATCGTGTTTGCTCCCCTTCCCTCTCTGTGAATACCCACCCACGGTACCACGGCACTGCCTTAACGTTCACATTGACCAGGCCAAGGGCTTGCTAATGGAGGCTATCGCCCCTTGTGAAAGGTCTTTGAGCACAAGTGAAAAGAGAAGGATGTCCCTGCCCTAATCATGACCATTTTAAAAATCCTTTTTTTAGTTTCCTTAGGGCTATAAGCATTAGTTGGCTGGGTTTAATTCAATGAACTTGAAGCAATGAAGTTCATTGAAGCTGGTTTGTACAAAGAGGTTTCTTTCATGGAGGCAGCATTAGACAACGCAGTGCTGGATCCCAGGAGAATATTAAACATTCAATATACTGGCAAGTATAACATTATATAAAAATGTTGCGTGAAGGATGAGCAGCAGAGCTAAAAAGCATAAAAAAGCTCGTGCTCGTCTCCAGGCTGCTGCTGAGCACTGCAGACCTCCAGTTACTGAAGAAACCTGAATTTGAGAGCTTTTCCTTCCTTTACTACTGCACAGTGGCTTTTGCTAACTTCAGAGATGAGTAGCTGAGTAATCTCCTACGTAGCCAATTGTAAGCAACTCTTATTAACAGAACGCAGCAGTAATTTGCAGTAATTGTCCGAAACTGCAGTTTACCGAAAATACTGTTATTATTGATTTTGGACCAAAGCTGAAGCATTTTTATAAGAGAGATTAGGAGTTACTGTTCCTTAAGGAACTGGTTTTACTAGCTGTAGGAGAGTGTCACTATGAAAATTAATCTCAGTACTTTTCAGTATAACTACGTCTTTTAAATTAATTTTCTTGGTAATTCCTGTACCCAAGGTGACCAATAGACCAATAGTACCTACAGCTTCTCCTCGCCAGGTTAAAAACTGCAAAAATTGCCACTTTTAGAGGGTAAGGTTGGCAATATGAAATCACATTAGTTAGCTTCTGCAACACACAAACTCCTTAAAGCAACTTTGAGAGTCTCCCTACCGTACAGGCTGCCTGAAAGACTGGGGGAAGCCTCACCTCAGCGGAAGGCTGTGACAGCTTGGCCCCCGCTGCCACTGGAGCTGGGATTTTAATCCACATCTGTTTCAAAAGCACAGCAAACACAGACACAACGCTCCAGCACAGGTGTGGGCAGAGACTGGGCAGTGGTGTACAAAAGGTGACATTTGAATATTCTAGCCAGAACTACCCAAACCTCTTTCCTCAAGATCCATTTCCAGTTTAGTGCAGCAATACACTTCCCTGTTGCAAGCAAGCAACATACCTCTTGTTTCAGCTTCGCCTGTTGCAAGCTCTAGCTCCTTATACATTACTGTTACTGCTATTATTTTACCATTAACGGGCGACTACCATCTCTGCTTAACAGTATGTCTTTGCTATGGTTGTTGCTTGACTCACCTCTTGACCCCATGCTGTGACTAGCTGAGCAGCCACCCTTTCCTTCCCTGAGCTACAGACCCACCCGAGCAGCTCTTCTCCAGAGACCAGAGCTCCTCCCAGGAGGTGGCACCCGTTCAGACCAGCAAAGCAGCACGTGCTGGTACTGGTTCACTTCACCCCTTCCCAAAAGAGCAAAGGAGAAGGGAGCCCTCTCGCCTCCAGGTCTGTGCTGGCACAGCTGACCCCAGTGAAAAAAAAAAAACCCTCTCAAAACCCACTCTGCATCCCAGCTAAACCATGGAGAAGGACTGAAGCCTTCTCCTCAGGGGTCAGTACGGTGGCCAGATGTGATCACCGTTCTTTTGTACAGTTACAAGTACTGATTTGCTCTGTGTAGGTCCCACCAATACTGGACTTTCTATCTGTTAGTTAAATAAGGTTTCCAAGCTTGACCAAGCCTGTTGACGATATGAAATAAGACCGTTTCTTTGAAAGAGCTACTGGGCAAGCAAATGGCTTTTTTTTCCCCACCACGATTATTCAAATCGTTTTAATCTGCGTTCTTTTTTTTTTTTTTTTTTCTTGAGAAGTAAAATAACAGCCTTGCCGATTACTCTTTGCTAAGGTACCCGATTGTGGTGACATTGAGGCTGACCTTGGAGTCACCTCCCCCGCTGCCGCACTCTCCTTTGTCGTACCACCATTTGTTTTTCAATTTGTCCAAGAGGCCTTGCTCATTCAGTTTTAATACTGCCAGGTTAACAGCATTTCTTGAAACGATAAAACATAACTTGTAAGAAAAAATGCACAAATGCTTAGGAAATCGTAACGTATAAAAAAAGGAGCACAAGAGGACAAATTGGCTAAAATTTCACAGAACGTGGAGCTATCAAAATGTCCGTACAGCAAATACAGGGTTAAATATTGGAAGGTGGCATGGAGGATAACATTTGCTCAAAACTGAAGTGTGCGGGATGGGGAAATCGTCTTTGAGAAAAAAAGTAACAAGAACACCACATCATGCAGTTAACATTCGTCACATATGGCAGGTTAACTCGGCTTTTACCATTTAAATTGAAAAAGCCATTGAACTGTAAAATTAAAACAGCAACAAACAATCAGAAAGGACAACACGAAGAGAACACTAAAAAAATGGATGCATTAAATAAACGAAACCATAATTTACCGTCTTATTTAACTCCATGGAATATTGAAGATTTTAAACTTTAAAGTTACCTCAAAATCCACAAGAAAGAAAATGACAACACAATACATCAGGGTAGGTGGAATACTATAACAACATGGATATTGTTATATTATTCCACCCACCTTAATGCTGAGCCTTTGGGGGTTGCTACACCATAGCCCTTGGAATCCAGGTTGCCGCCAACTTTCATGGTGTCGCAGGGCTTGCGCTGCTCGATGTACTCGTTCATGGTCGACTCCAGCAGGAAGGCAAACTTCCCCTTCGACTTCCGCACCCTCGCCACCCCGTCCGCCGTCGTTTTGGTGAACACCGAGGGCTCGGCTGACTTCATGTACGACCACATTTTCTCGTAGACGGCTATTTTTGACCTCTGGGGGAGACAAAAAGGAGGGAAATGAGGAGCCACGATGGCAAGGGCGCGACACTGAGCTCCTTGGGCTTGGTCGGCTTGGAGGCATAATTAACACCCCGTAACTGGTTAAGGCTAACAAATAAAAAAGTCAAGGTGCCTCGGAGAGAAACATACTGCCCCCTGAACAGCGACCAAACCACAAAATGGCTGGGGAGGGGGAAGCGTATCTCAGGCGTTTATTCTGCTAATTGCCACGTAACTGGCAGCCTGGCAGTTGGAATGAGAAACGGTGCGTGCCCGTCCCAGCTCCTCCGTTCCTGCTCTGCGCTGGGTTCCTCCGCCTGCATGCTGCTCTGCTACCGAGCCAGAGGGAGGCTGTTAAATCCTAGCTCATCCATCACGGCCAACAGATGCAAAAGGAGCCTCTCCTCTTTGCACAAACCCTCAGCATGGGATTCTGTGCTAACTTGCAGCTAGGAAACACTGCCATTTGCTTGTTACAAGTTCCCAGCAAGGCAGGAGCCTGTTTTTTCCCTGCGGTGATGGCAGGTTAACGATACGGGAGAGCAGGACAGCTCTTGTAGCTTCTAATAGTGATGCTCATACGAGGGATATAAACAGTAATTACAAAATCCTTTATGAATCAAGAGTGAAACTTTCAAAATTCAGTTCCATGTTCTCCTAAAAGATAGTAAACACAAAAATTAGCAATCAACTGAAAAAATTGCTGGTTAACTGCTTCTGTGTCATGTATATATATATTTTTTTTCCCCCGTTTTTTGCGTTTTGAGACCAAGCCAATCCTAACAGCCTCTAGCTCAGCATACAGGTTTTGTAGACCTGGAAATGTTGAGAAATGTGTTACTTCCCCTCATCCCTCTTCCCCACCAGTAACATTTAAACCACCCTCAGATCTTAAAGCCACCTCCAGACTCTTACGCATTCATATCCTGGATACGAGTTAAACTTTCCTGCTCAGTCAACAGAAAGCAGTAATGTCAACTGTATTTCTCTGAAGTCTAGAAATCCAAAGGATTTATATAAGGCTTTCGGTCCAAGTTGTAGGTATCTCGAATTTATGCCTCCTACTCCTTGCCAGTTTCCTGTCCACAGCTTTCCTTGCAGAATGGGAATGAGGCAGGCAGCAGCTAAATCTAGTTCAAATTTAACAAACTTGTGGCAGAAGACTGTTAATGTCCATCAGCTTGATGATTGAGACATGTTTCCTCCTCGATCAGGACAATTCAATGCGTTTTGAATAATGTAATGCTTAATAACCAGCCTCCAAACATTTCCCAGGGAGTAAGCCCTGCCTTCACCACTCTTCAGATTAACATGCTCAGCTAGTGTCGCTACGATGGATGGAGAGGAGCACAGAGGGCACCAGTTTATTTTAATTATCCTTCCTGATGAGCTGAAAAACAGCTGAAAATGCAAACCAATTAAAATCAGCCCAACTGACATTAGGAAATCAGAGACAACAATACAGTTAGGAGCTGGCTGGGTGCTGGGGTGTGCGAAATAACCAAGAGGGATTTCAGTTGAGGCATTTCTGGGCTAAAGATGGGCTGTGTGGCTTCGTGTGTCCAACATCAGGAGTGAAGAAGCGGTGGGAGGAAGGGGGATGTAAAAGGGGCCTGACATGGTCCTTACACAGGTAAAAGAAGGAATCAGGGGATTTTCCTGGCTTCCCAGCTTCTGGCAGGGAGCGTGTGCTTGCTGCCCCGTGCCAGCACCGCACGGCACCGCCTCGCTGCCTCAGGCAGTTGGGTTGGGCCAGGGGCAGCTCCGAGCCCCCGCCGACAGCAGGACCGTGGGTCCTGCCCAAGGAGGGACACCCCGCCGGGGCTCTCGGTCAGGCACCCACGGGCCAGCAGTGAAAACACGCCGCCACCGCTTTGTCACCCGAGGCGCCCTCTCCGAGCACACCGACCGGGCTCTCCCGCTTTTCCAACAACCCCCTCGGTGCACGTGGCCGTTTTCACCCCTCCGTCCCCACCAGCAGCAGCCCAGGGCACAGCACTGCTCCCCGGCATCCGCCGGAGGGGCTGCGGGGACCCCAGGGCTACCAGAGGCTGTCACCATCCCTGTGCCCACGGCCGAACTGCTTGCTCTTCTCGTGCGGCTCCCTCATGCAGAAAGGTAACGGGAACAGCCTGGCCAACGCAGAGACTGCCCGAGCAACGGCAACCCCGGCGTGTCCTAGTTTCAAGCTGCTTGTCCTGACAACCTTCAGCTTCTTTTAACATAAATACTACCAAGGCACCTGCAAATGAGCATCCAAGGGACAAAAGGAAGGTAAACCCACAGCTTTACTCTTTCTCTTTCTCTGGCTCAGCAAAGTAAAGTGGTTCGCCTTCCAAAATTGTGTATGCACTACGTATGCTTTTGCTTGTTTTCCTCGGCAGAGTGTGCCTTTAATTACACAGATAAACCAGAATTTCTTTTCCTTTTCATCTTCTAACTCACACCAGAATATCTGTCTTTTAATAAGTTCTTTCATACTCTTTCCAGCTGGCCTGACTACCTAAAAGCAATTGCCAATACATCTGTGCATTGTTAATAATAACAGTTATCTGATGAGTGCCAACAGCACGCTCAGGGCTGCAAATGGTCCAAACAAAGCACGTTCCCTGCTCCAAGGGTAAAGGGTGAATATCATCATCCATGCTTCAGAAAACCAAATTCCACAACTCAAAACCACATCTCTTTTCAACTTTAACAAACAGCCTAAGCTTTATAGTTTGCTCCCTTCATTTACCTCTTTTGGATGATGTGGCTAATAATAAATCGGTACATTTCTATATGATCATTGCCCACCTCTTCTTCTGTCAAGTGGGATTTTCACAATACGAGTGTAGCACTCTGATCTAGTAGAAGCAGACAAAAGTGCAAGCTAGAAATGAACACGGCAGGTATTGACTGGGAAAAGTTAAAATCTAATGCCTCGGGCACGTGCTGGTTTTGGAGCGGCCAGAGCCTGGCTGGGGGAAGCTGGGTGAGGACCCACGATGTCCTGGGACTGGGGACCTGGGAGGTGATGGGCTCCGGCCACTGCGTCCTGCTCGGTTAGTGCTGCTTTTTGCAGCCATTTTCCTAAAGAGACAAAAATAATGATTTATGATGAGGCTTCTTAGAGAAAGGGACAGTGCTACCAGAGGAGCTGTGAAACTGCAAACCCACTCAGATGTGCTGGAGGGTGTTTTCTGCTCCAGGAACCGTATTTTATACCTGCTCAACAACATGAAATGACCAGTTGACTAAAGCTGGTCAAAGATGCAGAGAGGTGAAACGAAAGGTGGTATTTTGAGTAAATATTTTCCTTTTTCCAATTTTCCAATTGCCCCAAAAACCGTCAGAAGCCCCCCAGGCTTTCAAAACAGGAAAATGTCTTTCCTTTCTAACTACAAAGCTGCAAATCCTGTGCTGAAAGAACATTTTCACCCGTCTGTCCTCCTCTGCAGACATTCACACCGCCCCTCCCAGTGCCTGTGTGCCCCCCCCAGGAGTCTGACACCCGTGAGAGGGGCCAGACAGCAGGAGCAACCATAGAGAAAGGATTTACACTCCAAAAATAAGGTAAGGTCTGACAGATCTGCACTGCTGCTACAGTTCAGCAGCAGTAAAACATTTTCCCTCTCATTAAAGTGTTACTTTTAAAGAGATGTTTAGAAAAAAAGCTTAAAAGCAAAGATTTAAACCAGTTCAAAGCCCATAACTGCAGTAACTCCCTATGCTCGGCAACTCCTATTTAATTTCTTTGATACTGCTCTCAAGAAGTCCGTCACACACATTTCCTCAGGATTTCAAGGTGATATTATTATCATGGTTTTTTTTTTGTTTTTTTTTTTTCTTAAAAGCAACATTTTCAGTGTTTCATCTAGGCCTTGGGACACATTGAAGCATCTTTTCATTATCGCAGCCTTCCTGCAGATATAAATAGAGCTGGCCTTTGCCTTGTCAATGGCGCTGCCTTTTTTCTTTATTTGGAGATGTTTATGCAGAAGTATGAGCCGCACACACCTCAGCGCCAGGGTGCAGGCAGCTCCCTTTCATGTCAGCAGAGGCAGCAGCTCTCACGCTGGGGAGTCACTTCACTTGGCCCGTTACTAACCCGTACCTAAATACACGTTGCTTCTGGGTAGCAACGTGTTCGTTTTAAAAGAAGGTGCCAATTCAAACCAGTCCACCATTTTATCACCGTCTTTCATCCTCATTCTCCTAGTTTTGATGTGTGGTTGGCTCCAGTACTGAAACAAAGAATCAAACCAACCCACAGCGTGCCACAGCATCAAAAAGCGCAGCTGGACGGGGCTGGGTGTGCATTACAGGCAGCGGGAAGGAGGCAGGTTTACCTCTCCGTTGCTGTTATCTCTTCAATCTGTTCAACAGCAACAAAAACCCAGCACCAGCAATCCTGGCTCCAGCTGAGCGGGACCAGATGCCTTGGTTTCACTTTTGCACATCCCAAACCACTTAGAGATATATCGCAAAACCCAGCACATCTCAGACAATTCCTTGACAGTGGTTAAATTTAGCTCTAAAATATCGTTGTGACTGAAGCCTTCTCCCATTGACTGAATTACCTTTCCCCTCTGCAGACATCTGTCTCACGCTTCTGCTAAAAGTGACACTGCGTCACCTCCTCCACTACTGAGCAGCAGTGAAGCTATTGTATTTGAAAGAAGTGGCATTTTTTCCTCTAAAGTATGTTACAGGGATGTCCTTTGCATACGTTAGAATGTTTTGCCCTCTCTGCCACCTTCTCCACAACCTGTGGGTCTGCTTCCAAAATGCCCACCTCATGCGCTCCACGGGGATATTTTATTAAAATGACCAAATGGTCCTTTGTTTCTTATGATGGGCACCAGGAAATTATTTCCCAGCAGTCAAGCTCAAAATGTTCTCTTATAGGTCTTATTGTTGATCATCCAGTCATGAGCCAAAATCCCCCAAATCAATTTTATGTTTAAAATTTGTTTATATATTCTCCCTTTTTTTACTCTCTCTGTTTAAAA